AACAAGTATCTTTATAGCTGTAATTTACAGTTTAACAAAGATGGAGATATTTTAGTATTACAGTACTCTGATAGGTTTACTGTTTATTCATTGAAACAAATAGATGACTCGAAATCTAGAGATAATTTTAGAGCAGATTCTGACTTAAAACAGGTAAATGATTTGACTGAAAGTGAAAACTATAACGATACTGATGATGAAAGTGATCAAGAATATTTAACAGTATTGGGAATTAAATCTGAAAAATATGTTCCAACTATTAAGATTAAGCTACTCTACTCATATTCTCAAGTCATTCAAAAGGAATGGATTACTTCTATTTCTATATATAATGAAAAAATGTATGACTCTCATCAAATTTGCACTGACAAGCTTTATGGTCCAATTAGTCAACTATACCCATGCGGTGTTTTGGCTATAACTACAATATCTTCAAATGGCCAATCTTTTTATTACTTAATGAAAACTTGCTCTAACTCGGATGATAGAAGTTACGTTTCAAATTCTTTAAATATCAAGTGCGATCATTATTGTAATGATAATACAGGATCAAATATGATAATTTGGAAGTTGGAGCTGACAAAGCTTAACGGAGTTAGAAAAATAATCTGGCAACCAGGAGATTCTATTTGTTTAGCAATTCAATTTTCTGAAAGGCTTAAGAATACTAAACTCATGTATGATGACTACTATGAAATGAACAGTAAAAATGCGAGTTTATTAACTCATATAGATAAAAATAATATCTTTGGAAAAATATTCTTTATAGATTCTAGGTGTTCAAATGATGATATGTTACTTTGGTCGAGGTTGATGGAGGACTTTATTGCAATTCATAAAAACAAAGAATATATAGAGAAAGAGGATGAATTTGACAAAGTGGATGAGAAACAAGACGATTCAGAACTTGATGAAATTAAAAAGACTTTTCTTGATGAGTATTATAAAGTAGTTTCAAAGCAAGACACACACCAACAAGGTTATAATGAAATACAAATACAAAAATTCTCGGAAGACTTACATGAGTTTAATAAGAATTTGGATAAGAAAGTCTATTGGTTTGATATAAACAGAAAGGTTTAAAGCAATATAGTACCTAATTAGCTGTATATATATACATTTATACAGTCCTTAATAAATTATTATTAATTATACAATTTACTATTTAATGTTGAAATTTACTCTTTTAACAACTCCTTATATCTTTGATTTGGTATTAAGAATAAATTAAAATCATTATTGACTGCACAACTTGGATTCTCCATTTTAATCATATTTCTCAAGTTTTCATCCCTAATAACAAATCTACCATCTTCTGTTGTCTCTATACTTTTCTTTAAACATTCTTCGATAAATTTTTGTCCTAAAATTGAAACAATTGAAAACAAATTAGGGTCTGATGACTTTGCACCTTGCCTATTCATAATATACTCAACACACTCCTTTGGGAAGATTATGCTTTCTATCTTTGCCTCGTCTGATTCTGTATTTGCAGATTTTCCTGGTAGTGTCATTCTTCCTTTCTATTAAATTTATTATTGGCTAAAAACAAAATAATGAATAAATTCAGTAAAGCAAGTCTGACTATATGCAACAGTACCCACTAATATTTACCCTAAACCGTCATAAGTTAATCCTGTGTTCCATTCCTTAATATAAATTTCCCGCAATTAAAATAATTAGTTCTTAGAAAATATAAATTAATTTGTTCAACATTTCCCGCATTACTCATTTTTTTTAAATTATTAGAATTGCAAAAAATGTCACAGAAAATTGAGAATGGTGGCGCCAATGGCGGCAACTTACTAATATGAGGGGTGTATACTAGCAAACAACTAGTATAGGCTGCAAATGGGAATTGAAGTATGGTGTGTGGAATAAGTATTAAAAAGATAATAGCTTGTGAATAATTTCATTAAAAATTAAATGACATTGACTAAATTATCAAGAAAAGTCACTATTTAAGCCCAATTAGGACTTGAAGTAATGAAAATTATAAGATGCCATGTATACATTATAGGAAAGAAAATGTAAGGTCAGGATTAATACATCCAAATGGCAAAATTGTCGCATTGTTGGTTTCTTCTAATATATATACAATCGAGTTGTACAGAATTGATGATCTTGATAAACCAATTAAACTGCTTTGGTCTTTCCAGATTAAAGATAAGCCAAGTTGTATGGATTGGTGTAATAATGCAAAAAGTATCTGTATCGGCGATACAAATGGTTCTGTTACTATCATTGATATCAATGGTCAAGTAAATAGCTATAATAACCTTCATTCACAAAATAATGAGATCAAGGAAATGAGAAACTTTATGTTATCAGGAGAACTCTTAAATTTAAGAAAGGAAGGAATATTTCCAAGAAAATTGCAAGAACTAATAGTAATTGAACCTTATTCTTTAAGTATTAGAAACTCAAATGGTTCAGAAAACATTGGATTAGATGAGCTATTGAATGAATTCGTTTTAGATCAAGAAGCGGATGATCATTTTGATGATTCTCAAATTGATGGCACTACAAATCAACTTGAAATATCAAAAAGTAAAGTAGAAATACTTCCTGAAGATTCTCAAAATGCAAATAGAGGTAACTATAAGGAAGCACCAAAGTTACTCCCAGAATATTTGAACCTGGAGGAAGATGTATGCTTAATTTTGACTATTGACTCAAAAAATAATATGATTTGTTCTATTGGTGGCCACACGCCTGTTTGGGTTTATAATCTACATGATCTTGGTCAAGGTAAAGATAGAATATTGAAAGATATTAGCATTTGTAAAAATCATATATTTCTAACTTATTTCCCTGAAAGTGAAAAAAAGGAAGACTTATTTATAGAAATGATTGATATGAAACAATTTATCGACTCTTTTACAATAATATTCAATACATTTGGATTCTTGCAATATATGAGGCAGTTACTTAATTATCTTAAAAATGTTTTTCAACAGATATTGTCTGTTTGGCTTACTGGGATTAAGCCATTTAGACAGTTTCTAAGTAATGATAAAACGGTTAAAAAAAGCAATTTTTCAATATTTTTACTTTCAATCATTTCAGGAGCTCCAATAAATATGTTTCAACCCGGTAACTCTTCTACAACTGAACTATCTATTACAATTGATCAGTTAGTTATGTTTGGTCAGAATATTAATGACTCTATGGTTTATATTGAAAATACTATTTCACAAACTGTGGAGCCTGTGATGCAACAGATTTTTATTATTTGGAGTATTATTCAAAAAACAGAGATTATTGAAGATCAGGAAACTAACAAAGTTTCAGCGCAGATTCATCTTTTGAAAGAGTTTAGCAAAACCTTAAATTACGAGACTGAGCAAGTTAAACCAATTGTTCATACTTTTTTGCATCTATTAAGCATAGCTAAGACCTATAAAGATGATGTAAAGAAAACTTCAACCGATCATTTTTTACCACCAAAAATTATTTCTTCTGTAAATTCCAATATTATCGCCTCTACTTTCAAAATTAGTTCAGATTCATACTTTGTATTAAAGGATTTTATCAAGAGAAAACATCTTTTCACTGATGAAAATGTGAAGGAAATGGATGATGAATCTCAAATAAGCCACTTTTTGAATGAAATAGAATTCAGAAAAATTGATAAGCTTCTAAATGAAGATGCAGAAGGTTGTTCTTTATCTTGTATTTTTAATTTGAGCTCTGCCATTGAAGAACTTTATAGACTAGCTGTCAAGAAAGTCTCAAAGAATTTCATTTGTAGCTTTTCTTCCTTAAAGGTGAATTTAGATCCAGGATATTTTTCCAAACAAAAAATCTTCAACTGTACAAATGTATCAATGGATGATTTCCAAAATATAGTCGTTAAGTTAATTCATCCAATACAAACTGAAAACAATAAATATGTTATTTCTAAGATTTGTATTAAGAATGATGAATTTTCAAGCCCTATTTCTACATTTGGAAACAATCATACGCTCGAGTATCCAACAGATTTTTCAAACGGAAATATTCAAATTGAATATTGTTCCAAGGCATTTTCACCAAGTATTAACAAAATATCAATTGAATATACAATTGTGTGCCTTCCAATTCATTTACAGAACTTTAAGATTTCTAGTGTAGTATGGACCCACACTAATGAGCTTTTAATGCTTGTTGATGATGGCTTAAAATCATCTCTTCTTTTTGGATTTAATTTAGATCTGATCAAATTACATGCTTTAACTCCAAGAACAAATAATTTATTGGACGATTCTTTACAAAATAATAATCTTGCTCAAAATTCACTCAGACTAATGTTCAGTATAATTAATTCCAAAGCTGGACAGGACATCACCAAGTCTTGTGCTAAATCTTGTCTAAATCTCACCAACTTGTCAAATATATTTCATTACTCTCAAGACATCTCTCGAATTCATAGGCCTCAGAAGTTTAGAAACTTGTCAATGAACATTTCTGGAACCAATGAAAGTAACTCCTCTATTGAATTCAATGAATCTCAAAAGGAATTTTGTACAAGTACAATGATTCTCGACTTTCACTCAAAATTTAACCAAGTAAGTTTAATCATCATTAACAAAATAACTTTTACTTTTTAATTTAATTAAAATTTCTTTTTAGAAATGTTTTGTTATTTCTGATCATAACGCTGGAAGGATTGCTGTAGGATATTTGGAATAGCTTCTATTTTGTTCAAATATCTCTCAAAACATTCTAGATTTAAATCTAATATCTATTAAAGCTGCCTAAATCATCTATTAGTAACATTCTAATCAATAAAAAAAAAGATTTGAAATATTCAATGGTTAATTCAATATAACTTTTAGCCAAATTTTTCCCAAAACTAAATAGAAATTTCGACAAAAAAATTCAAAAATACCTTTATAATAACCTCGAAGCCATTTAAAATAATCTATAATTATTCCGTTGTTATCTTTTAAAACATTCTAATTAGTTCATCTCCCTCAAAGCTTCCTTGAGTATTATGATTTATAAGTGCTGAAAAAAGGAGCTGACGGGACTCGAACCCGTGACCTCGAGGGTATGAATCTCGCGCACTAGCCAACTATGCGACAGCTCCTCATACTTGTCCTGGTGATAGTTCGAGGTTAAATTACTTAAAATTAAATTGAAAAAAAACTTAATGCAAATCTTGGATCGTCTCTCCAATATAATTTGCCATTCACAAAACCAGTACAAAGATCAAACCAATAAATACGCGCAAATACTTATACAAATATTATAAAACCTAGATAATAGTAGGGCTCTAAAGTAGAATAAGCAATATTCATCAAAATAAATGTTCAAAATGCGAACGAGTAGGTCCATTTGGATAGTTAAAAAAATTTGTTAAAAATGTGAAAATTGCTTTAATAGGAAGTTCAAAAGTGAAAATAGGCATTTAATAATTAAGGATGCCTCAGTTCATATATAAAGGAAATTAATTAAAATTGTCTTTCAACGGATGTTTTTCGATCCTCCTTATGTTTTGTGATTAAAGAAAAGAGCGAAACCGTCAAAAACATGGTAGTTAGGCAAATGATCACAAACTCGATTCTCCAACTAAAAGGAATAATATTGGAGCCGTTGGGTCCTGAAAAAGGTCTTGATGAAGGGTTAATCACAGTGACCCCAAATAACTTAAAAACTGAATTTTTAATATTTTCAGAGTCACAGTTGACTCTAAACATGCATGTGAAACTATTAGGTCCAGTAAAAATTAGTGTGCCATAAACTAATGCGTTAATTGTTACAGGAACTAATATAAACGGGTTCTTGAAGAAAGGATTTCTAAACTGGGATCCCATAGTATAGCATAATGCAGTGGCAATAATCTGGACTGCAGTGTAGATCCAAGAGCATGTTGACTCAATATTATCCATACGCATAAACCAATTTTGAGCGGGTAATTGAACATTGAAGTTTTTAGAGGACTGAAACCAAGGCTTGGAGCTAAGTCTATTAAACATTATAAAATAACCAATAATGTAAGTAGTGATTGGGGTCAAAAAGGCTAAAGCAAAGCGGAAGCTTGCAATACTACCAAAAGGTCTGGCTGCTGCTAATCTTCTACATGGAGAGTTGAACAAAAGTCCAATTAGGAGAAGAGTCTGTGCAAAGAAAGCAACAAATGAGCTGGAAATATCTGGAACTGCTGCATATGCAAAGTGTGTTAATAATGTTTCACTTAGAGATGTCATAATACCATACGCAACGAGATACAGTAAGATTGACATGGCTGAAGCTAGGCTACTCCTTCCTTCACGAATGATTTCTAATACAGAGTTCAAATTTGAGGTAGAGGAATTGAAGGGAGCTACCAAAGATGCGTCTCCCCTTGAAAATGAAAGCCCTACGTGGGAAATTCTGAGAGCTCCACAGTCGTTTCCACCATCCCCTACCATTCCAGTTATGATACCTCTCTTCATAAAAAGACTTATTACCTCAGACTTGTTATTTGGAGACATTCTAGCATAGACACTAACGCGGTTTAATATGTGATCAATCTTGGTTTTTCCCCGAAGTAGGCCACATGAGGCCTCAATATCCAGTTTATCAAGATTCTTGGATCCTCTTATAGGCTCAAAGAAAACTATTGAAGAGTTATGCTCCTTTAATAATATGTTAAAGCAATCACCAGTCAAAATTAAGTTTCCAAATTTACTATCTTTAGTGTATATCTCGCTATCTGCAATTAATTCTCTTGATTCTCTGCATCTCCATTGTACATATTCAGACCCCATTTGATTTGTTGAAAGCTCAGAGACTGCAATTTTTCCATAAGTCTCGTCAACTATTCCAAGTTTCAAAGCAGCATTTAACCCTGTTAATGCAGAGTCCCCAGTAATCATAATAGGTAGTACATCAGAGTCCACTAGTTGTTTTAGAACATGAGAGGCTTCTTTCCTCACAGTATTTTCAAACAGTAAAAGTCCAATTGGCGATAAATCAGTTTCTATATCATTTCTATTCAACGTCAGATACAAGTTTAGCAAACTCTTTTCTATTCTTTTGTAACCGGACATAATTAAATAATAACCTTTAGAAGAAAGCTCGTCAAGCTTCTGCTTAAATTCAGTTCCAATGGATCCGGTATAAATTTTTTGGATTGATTCAGGTGCTCCCTTGGTGAATAAATAGTATTCGTCATTATACTTACAATGTACAATGATACTCATTAGTCTTCTATTGTAGTCAAACGGAAAAATTCGGAGTACCTCTAATGAGCTAATCGAAATATCTGTTTTTTCCAAACCGTCATATCCTGAACCAATGGACCGAATATAAACGCTGTCATTTGTTGGATCCTTTTCAAAAAAGCTGTTCGTAACTGAAAAAAGTGCTTTATCGGTATCGTTTCCATTCATACTCTCATAGTATTTTCTTGGATTAGTAATTACGTCACGAGAGATTCCAAAGTTTGTTGGAGAGTGGCTTAGCGATGTACAACTTTTTATTGATAAGAATGCCAGCTTAAACTTATCTTGAATCTCATCTATATTGTAAACACTATCAGACAAAACATAATCAATGCTTTGGCTTCTTGTGTCATGTTCAGATAAAACAATAGAATAATCCGTACTCATTTCTGTTGGTGTAACATCAGCATTGAGTAAGTAGCTTTGTTCATCACTACCAATGGTATTTATTGGAGACATACCAATAAAATCAAGATGATCATTAGTCAATGTTCCTGTTTTATCAAAACACATAATCCTAAGTTTCCCAGCGAGGATGATTCTAGTTGGAATAAGAGCCTTGACATTGAAGTTCTTAAAAAGTCTTCTTGATGAAATATTTTGAGACAAAGTATTCAGTACCCCAAGATAAAGAGGGAAAGTGGAATTCATAGATCCTAATGCAAAGAAGAATGTAAATAACCCCCAGCTGAACGAATTACCTTGTTTGAAAATGATCAATGCCACGATAATACTTAAAAAAAGCCAAACAATGGGAAGTTGATCATATAGTCCAAAACTATATTTACTGGGATATAAAATTGATCTAATGATCTTTCCTCTAAGAGTAGAAATACCAGTTCGAATAACTAATGCTGTAGTAGTAGATGGTTCATCTGATACAAGCTTTTGATTTCCAGGTAGTTCAGATAGGTCTGTACTTAAGTTAATAATTGAATCAGTGGATCTTGTTGATGATGTTTGGATATTCATAGATCCAATCGAACTGCTAAGAGCCATTCCTCTACCAACATTATTATAAACAGCAGTAACTTGTGTACCTGCATATAAAAAATACCTCTTTCCTGAATATGGCCCATCTTCTGGAGATATTTTTTCAGATTCACATTCAGAAATGGGCATTTTCAAAACCTCAGCAGATTCACCTGTCAACATTGACTCATTAACAACGGCTGAACCTGATAAGAGTAGAAGATCACATGGTACTATAGAATTCTCATATACATGTATAATATCACCAGGTACTAATTCTAAGTTATGTAAAGTAACTAGCTTCCCATCCCTTATAACCTTGACATTATCACATCCCGTCATTTCTGCCAATTCTCTGATATTTCTAATTTTAATAAAGTGAATCCTTATATTTGCAATGATACTGATAATCATCATTGGGACCCATTTTACGGCAAAAAGTACGTATCCTTGGAATGTATATGAAGCTACAACAAGAAGTTGGAACACTGTTAGAGGATTAAGAATCTCATTCAAGAGACCCTCAATGAGAGAAGGCAATTCAATATTAATTTCATTTTTTCCATAAGATTGGTATTGTTCATGTACAAGTTCACTATTTAAACCTAAAATAGGGCTGAGAATCATTGTTCCGTCTTTATATTCCTTTTTTACACCTTCAGAATCTTCTTGTTTCTTTAAAGCTTTCAAATTCTCAAAGTTTGGTTTTAATTGTTCTAGCTCTGATATGTTTGGAACACTATAAATATCATTTTCCAAATAGGCTGTAAGATTAGCGAGTTCACCATTAGAACCCATTTGATCCTCTACACATGTGAACTTTTTTAAATTTTCTGAATACCAATATCTGACACAGAAAAGTTCAAAGTATGCTTTGCAAGTGTTGTCATCAGTACGTTCTCTTTGAACAGATATAGTGGAAAGTATATAGCCAGAAATCTCGTCATTCAGAACTCTTGAAAGTTTATTGAAAGGATCTAGAAAAAGGGAAAGAATTTTGTTAAGTTTTGTCTGCTTTTTACATGTGACATCAGAATCTACATTTATCTTTTGCCATATTGATACAAAATCAGCATCTTTTAAATCACAAGGATAATAAAAGAATTGTTCAAATGAAGATTTTGTTGATCTATAAAAGAAGCATAAAAAGAAGCACTCTAACCAAAGTGATATAAATACAAGAGCTCTATTACTCCAGTAAGGCGCAAGCTCTCTTCTATTACAACCAGCCGTATCATATGTATGAATAATGATAAATAAAAATGGTAATATTGTGGATAATGTAGTAATTGAGCGGAGAAGAGAGCCAATAACAGAATACTTATACCCAATTTGAAGACCATCGCGTCGTTCTTGCTTTTTTGCATTCCTATTTCTGTATAAGCTCCAGCAGTATGCTAGAATAGCCGATACCAAAAGGCTAATGAATGTAGTCCATCCCAATTTAGCACTAATAATAGGATTAGCAGGAGAGTGAAGAGTTAATCTAGAAAGATCTCTATAAATTCTAACAAATAATCCCTTGCGTTCACCTGAAGGCACTAAATCAACTCCTTCATTATGGGCCATTATTAACTGCTAAAAACTAGAACAAGAAAAGGCACTTTAGCAAGAAACAACTCTCCTGTTCAATCAAAAAATAACTAAATCCCAATCTTAAATCTTTAATCAATCTTCAAGGGAGAATTTATTCTTTAATTTAATCCAATTATTTTTTTCAGCAAATACTTGGAGACATCTTTAATATAAATAGTTAATTTTTAACTATATTAAAAACCTTTTATTACCTTGTGGTCATCAGGCGCCAATGCACGATACTTTAACCTTGGGGTGACGCCAACGTCTTAATTTAATTTAATGGTTTGTTTTGGTAATAAAGCGATGAATAGTTAAAATGCATCGCAATTGT